TCCCTACATCTCTGTTCTCCCAGTTCTCTATGTCCCAGGATCCCAGCTGGTCTCCAGGGTAAGGCTTGAACTCTCCACAGAGATCTGTCTTTCAAAATGATAGCTCCAAACTGGCCCACACACCCATCCTCTCAGGCCAGCACGTCAGCTAGGAGTAGACAAAAACAATCTGTATAAGCTAACGTGTCCTAGAGGACTGTGGGAATGACCCAGGCAATGAACTGGTGGGGAGAAAGGCATCTAAGCCATCAGCCATGTTGCTGACCAGAGACATTCATTATTCATGTCATTCAAAATAAACCACCATCACCAGTAACAAGGACGGGGCAAGGGATTAGACTGTTTTGAGTTATCAACTCTTTCCTATTTATCGTGACTAGATACTTATTTTCTTGTTTAATTTACTTATTACTATTACTTTTAAAATTTACTATAGGACATGTGCACTCACGAGAGAGAATCTAAGAGAGACAGAGAGAGAGGAAAAGTGGGAAAACAAACTGCCAGGTCTGGGACTCGAACCACGGTCGGCCACGTGGGCATTCAGCACCTTAACTACCATACCACTTGCTGTCCCCCTTCGATACTTACTTTGAACTTAATTTTTGTCAGTTAATCTGTGTGGTCCTAGGTGCTCCAACATTGCTACTGCCACGACAGGTCCTCCGTCTCCCCATTCGTCTTCATGAAGGTGTGTATTTAAGTATGAATGTAATAAAGGATCGATGTCCAGCCCTGTAGCTTACTAGTTTAGGAGATAGATCCTACATGGCCAGCCATGGTTTGAATCCTGGCGTCAGCTTGAGAAACGTGCTGGACACGTGAACATGTGGCCCAAATCCAAACCAAATGGAGAAGGAGCTAGAGTGTGGGCATGGCCTCTGGGAGGGGACTTTTCCCCACTCCCTCTCTCTGCCTCTCTGTCTCTCTCTGGCAAGCACACACACCCTCTGGCAATTACAAACAAATACATAAAGGATAAAGGGTCTAAAATATTTCCCTTAAATCTCATTTCTGAGTTTCCTTGTGAAGTAGATGAAGCAGTCAGACTTCGAGAGAAAGAACAAGAAGCCACCTGACTCCAGTTATCCAGAATCATTGCTCATAGACCGAGAGCTCTGAAGCCCCCTCCTTGCCTCTGCAGTCAGTCCCCTGTCCACGTCAGTATGAGAAAATAATGCTGCTCTGGGCCCAGCAGGTGGCATGGTGGTTAAGGCACTGGACTCCCACATGGCCAACCATAGTTTGAGTCCCGGACCTGGCGGCTTGCTTCCTTACTTTCTCTCTCTCTCTGTGTCTGTCTCGCTCTGGTGAGGACATGTGTCCTATAGCAAATTAAAATAATAATAACAATAATAAATAAAATTAAACAATTCTAAAAAAAAAAAAAGCTGTGATGGCTATTGATATAAACTGCTTAATATTATGCCTAATCACCTGCGTATGCTACTGCCTGCATCTGTGAAATAACACCAGCAGGCCGGCCTAACAACTTGTAAATAGAATAAAATCAGACCTCGATCTGGTGCATATTCTAGCTCATAAAACACTTCATAAATTAAAAATAATTTAAACCATACAAAATATGTTCTCTATCATAATGCAATCAAACTAGAAATCAGTATTAGAAAGATCATTGGAGAGGCTGGCAAGTGGCGTGGTGGTTAAAGGCACTGGACTCCCACATGGCTGACTGCAGTTCAAATCATGGACCTAGCAGCTTCTTTTCTTTCTTTCTTTTTTTTTTTTTTTTTTGGAGGGGTTTTCACTATAGGGGGCG